ATTATTGTTATTAGTTAGTCTTTTAAGCCCATTGCTGATTTCTCTCCATTTTTGTCTCTGTGTGTTTCCTTTAACTTTGTTAATGCAGGAACTCAAAATGCCCGAGTACATCACTGAACTCCAAGTGTCTTGGAATCAAGAGGATGAGGAGTCTTTCAGTAAGGAAGGCTTCAGTAAAATTCCTGTTAATCTAAACCAAGAAGCTGGAGGAAACATCATCTACCTTTGGTACAAGAAAGGCATGGGCCCAGGAATCTCCACCATTCAATTTTCATTCAGCCAAGAGATGACCAGGGGCCTGCTCGAAGCAAGATATACAAAGATCGATAAAAACCTCAATGAGGGAGCAGGTGGAGACAAAATCTACCTGTGGTACTCCAAGTCTGACAGGAATGTTCCCATCGTGGACATTGATGCCACTGAAGATGCAAAAACTGAAGCTCAGAAGTTTAAAGACTGGGAGAGACTGGCCTGTGACCTGAACCGCACTGCTGGAGGAAACCTGATCTACCTGTTTGTGAAGAGGGAGAAACCAACCTACATCTCTGGGATCAAGGCCACTATTGACCGCAGTGGAGATGGGGACAACTTCAACAATGGCTACATCCGAGTGGATGAAAACACCAACAGGGGTGCAAAGGTGGAAGGTAGTCCTGCGCCTACCATCTTCCTCTGGTACCGCCTGAGCACTTACCCCAAGGATGCCTTCAGAGATCTGAAAGTCTCCACAAACCAGAGCGAATATGAAAAGTATAAAAAAGAGGGCTACCTGCTGGTGAACCAGGACCTGAACGAGGGGACCAGAGGAAACAACGTGTACCTGTGGTACATGAAAGACAACAGCAAAAACCCCATCAAGGCCGTCACTGTGATCACCAACCAAGAAGCTGTGGGGCCGTACCAGAATGCCAGGGTCAACGTCATCCAAGAGAGCCTCAACACCGGCAACAACGGTGTTCCCATTTATGTGTGTTTTCAGTGAGGGTAACCATGGTAACAGAGCTGAGCATGCTCACTGAGCAGAAAGATGTTTCTGTTAAAATGGTTTGATGATGGTTTTTCTTTCCTTTCTGTAATGATCTTCAATCACTGTGATCTCAGACCAGCGATCATTGATCC